TTTTTTTTTTAATAAAATCTTAATTTTTTTAAATTTCAGCGGTGGACACCCATATTTGACTGGTTTGGCTATCGCCGGTGGCATGTATTGGATTGGYTGGCAGGGTGCAATCTTCGGCCCGTTAATGCTCTGCTTCTTCATAGGCATATTTGAAGTGGCTGCAGTAGCCATGCGTGCCAACGAAGATGCAAGGTGAGCGCTTACATTAATCGCAAGTAAAAAATTATTAAATGTGCATTTTGTAGGCGCAGCTCCGATGAGGACACCCGCGCGACGTGAGTTGCCTAACAAACGCATTGACACATGCTAAATGACAAGAGTATCTAACGCAAATAACAGTACATCGCAGTAATGTGTATTTAACTTAATGCCAAAATATGCTGCTTTTAACACATTTAGGCTACTACAACAATAACTTATAACAGTTGATTATTTAATATTTACAAAACAATCCATAAACATTCATTGGACTAAGGGCTAACGTGCGTATGCGCTGATTTAACAAACAACAACAATTTAACGGTTCATTTGAAAAAATAATAATAAAAAATTGTATGTGTGTAATGCTTGCATCAAATTCCATTTCACTACATCATTTTGGTTTTTAAAGTTTGAAATTGCATTGCCTTATTATCTCTTTGTATTTTCAGCGAACGCAGACATTCCTTTTATGACTATTAACACTAAATGAAATGAAAAGAACTTTAATTGCAAGCAAAAATTTTCCAAATTTTCCAATGAATGTATTATATATAAAAAATTGGCATAACTACCTCGAATAGTTTGATAAAGAGATTATCAACTGATGCTGTAACTAATGTACTAAACCCCTATRTGCTATATACAAATATTATATAAAACCACTTAAATAACGATAAACAAACTTAACAATGAAGACATTGAAGAATCTTAAATCTGTGTACTTTTATGGTAATGTCATTTAATTGTTGTTTAGTGGCCAATTCTTAAATAATATTCAATTATTTAAAATTGCTTAACGAATTTTTATCCGCCCACTACCCCAAAAAATATATATATAAAATGTGTTTTTTTTATTGCATTTTTTTACAAAATGAAAAGTTGTTTATAATAGCTTTAGCTTAAGATTTGATTTTGTACGAAGTGAAAATTAGATTAAAAATAATATATATTGACAAAATCTAGAGTTTGTTAAATAGTAAATTATTAACATCATTTAATTGAAATAAATACTGAAATAAATAAAAAGGCATAAAATATAATTAATTAGGTATACTTTCTTTATTAAAAAATATCAAAAAAAAAAATAAAATTTTAATATTTTAATCCCGATATTGGGATTAAAAATTAGATTTTGTTTTTTTTAATTTAACTTTTGAATAAAAACGAAAAAGTTAAACGTTAATTCTAAAAAAAAAGTTATATATTTTTTAAATTCCTAATTATATGAATGGGACTAAAACTTTTCTTTTTTGATTCCTTAATCCGATTTTTAATCTTGTATTTGGGATTACAAATTTAAAAAAATATTTCAAATATTAATTCAATTGTTTTTTAATGCATTAGTTGCAACCCTGTAATAGCACATAGAAAAAAATTAAAAAAAAAAAACATTTT